GAATCTGAATCCTGAAAAAAAAAAAGACAAAAAAAAAAGAAACAAATAATGTTAGTTACAATTTTACAACAATAATAACAATAACAACAACAAAAAAAAAAAAAGTGCTGTTCACGTGAACAGTGTACGACACTATTCACGTGAACAGTGTCGTGCATTAAAAAAAAAAAAACAAAATTTGGTTTTGGTTTCTGCCCATTGGCAGAAACCAAAATAAATAAAAAAAATCAAACAATTTGTTTGGTTTCTGCCAACAGCAGAAACCAAACAAATTTGTTTGGTTTGGGTCTCCGCCCTAAATTTTTTTTTGTTTTGTTTTTTTTTGGTTTCCGCCGACAGCGGAACCAATACAAAAATGTAATTATATTATCTTGTGCTATTATACTATTCATTTATTAATGTGGTAGAAAATCCGTGTTAATTATTCCTTGCTTACATAATAATAATAATAATAATAATAATAATAAAACAACTACGACGACGACTATAAAGTAAAATGTAACTATATTATAACATTATATGATATATACTATTAAAATAATAAAGTAACGCGTAAATTAATGTTATGTATGTAATTAAGCCATTGTTTGACAACTATTATTTTAAAACTCTTTTCCCTACATATTCATTGTTAGCTATGCATTCACACAATAAAATATTTCATAAGCAAATCAAAAAAAAAAAAAATTCTAATATCACTGTTCAAAACTCTATTTTATCCAAATAGTGACGGTCAAATATGGGCTAAAAAAAGTATAATTCTTATTAAGATTTAATGAGCACTTAAAAAATAGAGAAAAGTTATTGGACCATTTGGAAAATGATTTTATTCTTAAAAATGTATGGTTGAAAATGAATTTTTGAAAAAAAATATTAGTGAAAAAAAAAAAGAAAAAACTCTCTCCTAGACAAGCTGTAAATCCCACCTTCCATTACCTCTCCAATTATTGTTTTTGAGCTCACCATATCAATAGCCTTCTAGTGAGATGAGTCAAAATCTTGACATATCTTTAAGTGCCTTGTCCGGTTTCTATTAAGTTATTAAACTCGATAGATATTATGGCGAGCAATGGCCTTTATGCTTGGATAAAAATTTTATACACTCCAATAAGCTTTTATTTTGGCTTTTCATTTTGCTTGCCGCAAGAAATATCTATTGATTTCTCCTCATATTTTAGTTTAACATAATTTTTAATCAATCATGCTACATGTACAATTATGGTTGACAAGGTTTGTTAACAATCATGATTTGGCATCATCACATTCATCCATTTCAAAAATTATTTTTTAAATTAACTATCCAAATTTGGCCACATCAAACATTGTCAAACTATACAAGTAGATTAATTCATTTTAATATATCAATTGACCATTTAATTAAATATATGATTTATTAAATGCAATCATTGAACATTAAGAACAAAAAGTGAGTTTGGCTCTTTACATTTAAAGAGTCAAACTCACTCTCTAATTTAAAATGTTGAAATAAACAGTCTCTTCAAACTCATTTTTAAGCATTAACTCTTTAAAATAAAAAGTATCTAAATAGGCATCCATAAAAAGTTCTCATATTGAATATTTCACACACTGAGATTTAAAACAAAAACAGTGTCAAAAAAATTTTGGATGCTGTATTTTTTAAATGTAGATCCCTCTGCACAAGGTTAGTTTTTACCTTAATTTATAAAGTCATGCAGGATCTTAAAAGGAATTCCTTGAATATAAAGATATCACATTAGATGATGATGATGATGATGATGATGATGATTTTATGGGAAAATGTGAGTTAATCAATATAAGGTTAGGTATATTCTGCTAGTTGAACAACGAGGACCTTCATCGGGGATGGAATCGATGCTTCTCTGCACAAGAATTTTTTA